ATCTAAACAGTTAAACGGGAAATATTTTTCTAAAAAGGAAACAAACAATATTTATAAATTAATGTATAAAATACAGACGTTGCTGTTGACATAGTTAAGGACGAATACACTTTTCACTTAAAACATTAAACGCCTTATTTGGATGTAACAATGCAGTATATTCTCTCGATTTAGATACGAGACCAGTAATGAATAAGTACACCATAATTATATATTACACACCGCGTTCTATATTATACCAATAATTTTTTTTCACTGAATCGTCCGCATCATTGAGGTCTGCACGACACCGATTTCTTCAAAACATTATTTGTTTGTAATACACATATGCACTAATGACGTATACATGTTTTTCGAATATTTTTTTAAAGACACAATTAATTGATGGACTACGGTCAATTTTGTAGCTATTCCATATTCACAAAAAAAATCGTATTATTCATGACGTGTTCACATAAATATCGTAATAGTATGTGTCATCGAATGTTGAGAATCCATGTGTACCACCTAGCTGTGTCAGACATACCTTGCGTTCCGTAGCCCCACTACCGGTGTTTGATTTTTGTGTTCATGCGGTCGTTCTGGGCAGGTAGGTAGGTCAAAAACGTATAGTTACATCGAAGATGCTTCCCAAGTCTTCTGCAACACCAACTTCTAGGATACTTATATCGATTTATAATGCGCGCTTGTACTGCTTGCATTTCAATTGAATGCAGCTATTTCAAATCAAATTTAGATTGAGGTACATGCCATACGGTAGTTTATGAAGTCGGCAATCGTTCATATATCAGTGTACATATATTTACGATTAGATTTACAATTACGATGAATACTCGAAATTGATTGATAGTTAATAGTTGTAAGACCTCAAGTATACCTATATACGGATCGTAAATTATTACCACCAGTTCAAATGTTTGACTTGACTTTATTGATCGAATGACGACTACACGACTGCATGTTTACTTATCGAAGCAGTTCACGAATACCAATATAATATTATGTCATACACAATATATTTACATAGGAAAAAAAAATCGATTTTCGTTTTTATATTTACACTGATGTATCACATTGTAACTTATCACGTGACTATACGTGTAATAGATTATAATGTTTATTTGTAGAAAAAATATAATATACTAGGCCCGTCGAATACAATTTTATGCGACTTGTGAGGCGTCTTTAGTGTTGCAATGCATTCGTACATCATTATATTACTCATTGCTACGTTGCTTGTTCATAAATAGATACTTATTACATTACAAATTAAGAAAATTCATCACGGTTTGTTTACAAACAGAATTGCAATGTAACGCTAGGTATTACGGCTATTATTCAGTTACATTATAAAAGTATACATATTCAATACGTCTACATGGCAGGTTTAAACGTTGTATTGAAAAATTTCAAAATTTATCATTGTATCGCTTCGAGCCAGAGGTCGGAGACGTCGTTACTAATTGCCTTAATGACGTCCTGGGGCTTCGGCAGTAGTTTTTCCTCTCTTTCTCTCTCTCTCTCTCCCTCTCTCTCTCTCTCTCTCTCTCTCTCTCTCTCCCTTAGCATTATATACTTAAATTTAGCTTAATACGTCCATTAATTTTAGAATGTACTAAAATCAATGATACGGTTCGAACCCGTCATATTTTTTTTTTATTTACAGTAATGATGTATTAATATTAAAAATCAATTATATTTATAAACATTGTAGATATCATGTAGCGATATAGTATTCTTATAGGTGTGTCTGAAAATTTCGTGCAGGTATGGCCAATAACATTTTTCATTAGGAAAGTTGAAATTTTCATTTAGGATACGAAGACAAAGAGTGACTTATACACAATACAAAAGCTTGAGAACGTACGTAGTAATTGTACCTACTATAGTAACTATAGCTAGTAAATAATATACTCACTCTTTTTAAAAAAATAAAAAGTATATAACATAAAATACAACTAGAACTACTCGGGTACTTATAGCTATGGATATTAGATAATAAATATTATTGGTTAGTTTTTGTCACAGACATATTATACATAAATAATATTTTATATGAAAATATTTATTATTTAATCATTCTTTTTACTTTTTAGTAATTATTTTTAATGATTTAAGTATAAATTTAAAACGGAGCTGGATTTTGCAGGTCTGGTTATTGCCAGAGTGACCACAGCCGTAAACACGCCTATGAGTATTCTGTTGTTATGTACATATTAACTCCTATTTTTTTAATTATTATAATAATATATATTTATTTCATATTTTATAGTATAGCATACTATTTCATATTCAAATCAAGTCAAATTAAGGGATCTGACGGTATGAAAAGTCGTATGGTACGCCCCGTAAAATTATACGCTGGCACTCGTCCACGATTAGAAGTACTACCGAATTAGGTGTAATAGTTTCGTACACGAATTAGGTATCTGAGCGCGTTCGCGGTTTTATTTATGTTATTAAATAATCCATGTGTTTTGGCCTTCTGTCGTCCATTTGACGTTTTTCACACGAAACACGTTTAAGTCTTGTATTGTGCGCGTAATAATTGTGCGTCGTAATTATTGCGGATGACACGTACGTTATTGGATTACTACAACAGGATTATTGGTGTGTTTGTTCGGCATAAGCTGCACCGCGCCGAGCGTTCGAAAATATTTTTATTGCCATCCAAAAACTGTCGTTTATCGCGTCGGCGTACGCGTTGTAAACTTAGAATTTCATAGAAACGTATCGTTATTGCCGCGACCGTGAAGCGTTGCACTCGAACGGAAAAGACGCACTTGACTTGGCGCGGCACCAACATGGCGATTCGAAAAGATATTTTCGTGTTAACCACGGTGCTATTGGAGGACGGCTCTGTGTTTATTACGTTCGCGGTAGGATTTCGAGTACCTGTACTTATTCATATCTACAGCGATAGCCGTCTCGTATTGTACGACGATCTGTATGAATAATACCGCCACGCGCGTGTTTAGTGCTGCGATACCGATGGTTACGACTAGAGTACGGATTTTAAAGCAATAAAAAACTAAAGAAAAGCACTAAAAAAAAAAAATCAATATAGCTGTAAACATTTTCCGAAAATGCTCGAAAAAAATATTAAGAATGGATCTAAAAAAAAAAATTCACGAAGTTGTCAAGAAACGATTGAACAAGATTTGGAACACAATATATAACATAGAAATAAATATTAACGCTTCAAATACGTTTATTTAGAACACATTTTGAAATCAATGTAACTTAAAAGAAAAAAAAAGCATTAATATACAAAAAATGAAAAATAAAATTTGGTGCAATTTATTCCAAATGGTATAAATCGAATTTGTAGCTGATATAGCTTCGTTTTAGAGGAACAGAAAAAAAAAAGCGAATGCTTTTAAATTCCGTTATAACTCTAGTCATAACTTTACATCAGACGTATGCGGAAAGCTTTTTTATGCTTCTTAATACGCGTATACGCGTGCACCACATATGTAATCGTTTAAGTAGTAATAAATAATTGTTTTAAATTTATTCGCATTGATTACAATGTTGAAATACGGACGGAAGGACAATAATATGACGTTAAAACGAATTGAATACACATTGTTTATTGTACGTCTTGAAATAACAAGCACCACTGCGATGAATGATCATTGCCAATTTATTCTACACGACCATGTGTTATACACATCGCGATACACCTATAATTACGTATAAAAACCATATTTGTGTTTCGAAACTAAATATTTATTGGGGCATGTTATTGTGATATATTTTTTCCGATACGTTATTTTTTTCTCTCGAAATAAATCATCCGGAAAATATCAAAGTAGTGTCGGGAAGATGGACTACCACGGTTTAAATAAAAAATAAAAAGGGTAGGGGGTTAAAGTGTTAAACCGCTAAGATATTCCTTTCCTCGTTCTTCGAAAAAAAAAAAATTGCCAATTATTTCTACTGCTGATAATAACACGTTTTCCATACGTAATATTATATTGTATTCAATACGTCGTTTGAAATGTTGTTGAGAAATGCGTAAGAGACGTAAACACAAAACGTTCGTTTGGTTCCGATTTTTTTGATGTAAAACGTAGCATGTTTAAGTTTAAAAGAGCAAGTGATTAAAAAAAAATAAAAAGACAACATTTTTGTGGCCGATGAGACAGTCGAGAGTGTCGACGATCGAATAACTGTTGATAAATGAAAAAAAAAATAAAATAAATTCCCGATCGTCCGGGCGTCTTCTGCTGCGCGTGCACTGTGCATTATTAATATATTAATGTATTATTATTATTATTATCGTGTCATATTATATTATTATCGTATTGGTATTTTTTTCCCGTGTATTTTCCCCTCGCGGACGACGCCACCGACGCGCTTGCGGTCGTGCGGAAGGACGGGTGCGGCGCGACGACGTAGGCATTATTCATAAAAATTCGTGAGCATCTTTATTACAACATTCCCGTCGGAATCTCGCGGAGGTTTGGAGCGAAACATTCCGTTTTAGACGGTTTTTCGGTCTTAACAGTTCAGCCCGACGTTCACGGATCGCAACAACTCGTGACGGAACCGAACGAACCGCATTTACCGCGGTTGGTTTTCGCCGCACTTTGTCCAAGGGTCTTCCGTAGACTTCACCGCCTTATTATATATATATATTTTTTTCTATTACGTAACACAAAGCGTGTTCACGATCAAAAGGCATGCGATGACGTTTTCGTATCGAAATCCAATCGAGTTCTTGGTATTTCTCCGTCTCCGTCCCAAACAATTAACTTTATTATTTTATTTTTATTTTTTTTGTTTTCCGATGCGGTGTACCCATACGCGTAGACGCCAAGAACAGGTGGCTCCGCAGTCTTTTATGTAATAGTATAAAAGGGATCATTATACCTACCCGTAAGGTCTGTAATGGGTTTAGGTAGTCGGGATTTTTTTTTATTTTAAAAATAACCGTCTTTATGCGCGCGAGACGTACGTGTGCATTTTGCACGACGATTCGTTTTTAATAATACGATGAGAACCGCGTATACGTCGTAATAACGTTGCGCACGGAGATTTCTCAAGACTTGGGCGGCCATACACTTGCGGAGAAATGTTCGTATTGATCGTTTAGAGTCGAGACTTCCCAAATCGGATATCCTGATCCGTACGCACGCTACCGTAGAGGTGTGCGCGGTAAAACGTTGCTAGACAGCTCCTCGACCGAACGTCGAAGCTACGTTATTGTTGTTGTCGTTTATTCTTGCGATTGTCGTCGTCGACTCATACCCGAGCGATCGGGCGCATTAAACGTATTGGGCGTCCGCCGCGGGTCATAATACCGCGCGTTAAACGCCAACCCGAATCGCTCGTGATCGCGCGGTTGATCACGACGAGTTGATCACATTCGGGATCGACGAAAGCGCGTACGGAATTCCGATAACTGGTGTCGCGCGACGGAAGCACGGTATTTATCGGCGTCGCGCGGCGGTCGGACGCGACGCGGTCGGCGAGGCAGCACTGCCACGGTTGGTTCACCAATGGTGATATCAGACGAAAACGTTATCACGTTACTGTTCAGTTCCGAGGTGTCGATTTCTCGCGTCGTGTCGTGGGTACGTTACCATCGCCGAAGCGCACCGGACCCGACTGGCCGTAGCTCTGCTTTTACTTCACGCCCGTAGCCGCGAACCTCGTACCACTCGTAGCACCGGCTCGTCTGCTGAGTGCCAGTGTACCGAGTGCTACTACTACCACACACACTACTTGCACGCCGGTGGGCCCTCTTTTTACCCGATCGCGATGCACCGCTGACGACCGGGACACGAATCGCCATCCGGAAAAACCCTACGGATCGCCCGTACACCGACACCGATCCGTTGGACGAACCGCGTCCCGTGATGCGTCGGGCTCCGGCGTTCCGTCTCGGCCGACCGCGAAACCATAGGTCTTCCGGACCACAGCAACAACAACAATAACCGAAGACTGGCGAGGTGAGTGCACTCGGCGCTTCTCTTATTCGTCAGTGGCATGTGGAGATCGCTGTGAGTAAACTATTACCGTCGCACTGCGATGGATTTATATGTTATCGTTGATGCCCATTGGTGTTCGGTCGTGAAACGTCGGATAAACTTCATCGTACAAACCATTTGACCGACTGACCGGACACCATACCAGTGGTGCCCTGCCATAGTTCTTTATAAACTATAACTCTAGTGTTTTTATCCACTGTTTTGTTATTGTTTCCAGGAACGTTACACAATGCCTTTCAAGTTGCGTCTCAAAAAAAGCCGGCAGTACAATGTTGTCTCCAAATCTTTGTATGTCATCTGTGTCGAACTGCTGGATAGTACGTCGATAGAATGCACTCTTTCTGCGGAGAGCGTAGGCCAAGAATGTTTAGACAGCGTGTGCCAAAGACTCGGATTGCATCAGGTTGTTGTTTATATTTTTTTATCATAGTCTTATGTAAATAAATTTAAACTAATTTTTATTTCTTTACAGCCGGAGATCCTGGGGCTGCGTTACATATCACGGTCCAGAAATCCTCGATGGGTTGATCTGAGTAGGCCGTTGAAAAGGCAACTAGACAAATATTCGTGTCATTTTAGTCTGTATTTGAGAGTTATGTACTATATAACAAATGTGTCTTTTATTAAAGATGAAATGACTAGGTTAGTATATAATTGTTATTTATCTGTAGTATAATATTGTAGAGATAGTTACTATATTCTTACATTTTTTTCTATACACAAATAATACATATATATTTTTTTGTATGATTTTTGTTTGAAAAACATTTAAGAATAGGGCATATTTCATATTAAGTGATTGAAAAGTATGGAATTCCTTTTAAAAAATCTTTTTGCTGAGAAGCATTTTCATATTTTTCGAATATTAATATATAAATGTACATACATTAATTTCTTAGGGTTGTAGCTAGATTTATTTTCCAGCTGAGGAAAGCTCATACTTTACTAAATACATAACTTTTCATTATTGTAAATGTACATGCGAAACGTAAACTTTGTGTGGGATGATTTGTTTTGATTTTTTACTAATGATTTTTACTAATGACAACTCTTGTATACCCAGAGAAGTGATAGAGATAGTCTGTCGTTCGGTTCGGTTCGGTATTGCTGTCTTATTTTGCTTGACTAATTTGTCCCAAATCAACATATTTTGCTTTTAACAAAAAAATAAAGCCTTTAAATTTTTTTTATATTATAGTTCCAAAAAGATATATTTTATTATTTATTGAAAATCTTATATTTATTATTTTTTAGATAAAAATTATTTTAATAAAAACAGAATAATAAATATTATTCTACTTTAATTTTAATTGGCAGTACAACTAATAAATGTTTTGAATTTGATTAATTAATATTTCCATAATAAAAATTTAATTTTATTAAGTTTTAATTTTTTTTTTTTTTTGTACTTGGAAAGTCTTCTCAATAAAAATTAAAAAAGGAATTTGTATTTAATTTACTAATTGGTATAAATAACAACATCAAAGGGCTTTAATAAATGTACTGATTAAACAAATATTTTAATTTAGTTAAATTTATCTTGGGCTATCCCATTTTCATTAAATATGTATTGGTTCTAACATTCCAAATACTATAATTTATTTGCGCATAATGTACATTAAATAAAGTATTGTTTGATATTTCAAGTATAATTAAGTTATTTTTAAAGATGGATAAATATTATTGGCTTCAATGATTTTTTTTCAAACCGTTTTCTTGTCAATAGTAGAAAATATATGCACCAATTTATTAAAAACTATTTGTGTGAGATAAAATTGTATGTATTTTTATACTTTCATTTCATTATAGATACTTGTAGTTAAAAGCACTTGAAGTTATTGATTCATCTATACTATGTTTAGTAAACAGGCACTTAAAAAAATACTAAACATTTCCTATTATAAAGGTGATTAACATTGAACTGTTTTATATATTACCATACTTTTATGACTCTTGACCATTGACAAAGTTATTTGTACTTATTAAAATTATAATTTATTACTCTTATCAGATTATATGTTATTTATTTTTCACAGTTATGTTGGACAGTTATATTTATTGACATATAATTTATAATTTATTAAGAGTGACAAATAATATTTTAAATTTATTTAGTTTTGATTTTAATTAAGTTATATCAGTTTAAAGTATTAATCAAAATAAGAAAGTGTTTAAAACATTTTTATATATATTTAAAAATGTATAAGCTTATGATTAAGTAATTATAATAATAACATTTATGTGGCTACCACTTATCACCTAGAAATTATAAACTTTCTCATTTAGACAGAAAAATGTATTTATTAAATTTTTAAATTCAAGTAGGGTCATTAATTTAATCAAATTTGTATTATTAAATTGTTTTTTATGATTTTTAACGAAAGCATAATTTAGTTTCTCTCTTTTCATTACATGGAATAGGGGCATGTATTAGTCTCGGTTTTCAGCATAACTGTTAATAATTCATGATACTTGTTTAAAAGTATTAATGAATCAGTATTACACTGAATAATTTCAAGATTTTAAAATTGCCTAATTATTATACTTAAACATTTTTTCACTATTACAATTAAAGTTAATATAATGTAACTAAATTATATTTTGATTATATATTTATTTTGATACTATATACCTGTAAAGTCAAATTTTTGATAATTCATTTTTATAATGATTAAATCCTATATATTTTATGTGGGTGGATATTTGGTTACATCTGGTAGAGAGGAGGCTTTAATAATTGGTTCTTGTAATTCTTTTGTAATATTCACCAATAATTTTGTAAATCAAGTTGAGACATATTATTTGTTTTTATTATGGGGTGTCAATTATGTATTAATTTAAAAATTTTTATTTTTTTTTTTTTATAAAAACAAATTATTTATATACACTAATGGAGAATATATGAACTGATCTCAATGAATATTAATTTTGTATAAATTAACTGTATTTATTAACATTGTTTTGATTATTTGGCAAATAGGCCGTATGAAAAATAATTCATAGTATTAATCTATTTTGTTGGTAATCAGTAATAGCCATACATTATTTTGATTATATATATATATATAGATTAGTGATGGGTCCAACTTGATTTTTTGGTGTAGAATCGAACTTGAACCGACTATTGTCAAAATATTACAAACTCAAACCGAACAAAACTATTCAAATTTTTTATCAAACTTCGAATTTATCATTTTTTTCCTTTTATAAATATATTGAAATTATGAAAATTTTACTTATATTGTAAAATTTAACACACTTTAAAATATATAATAAATTATAATGATTATTAACATCCAATACTATTATTTCTGATACATTTTTTAAAAATATAGAGTACAAACAACATTTATATTTTTTTTCACTTTTTCAAAAATAGATTTGTGGTTTTGATCATATTATCACACATCATATGAAAAATAATCTGTGATAATATTACCTGTAGATATTTATAAAAATAATCAAATGCTTCAATATGGAATTATTTTTTTTTATCATACCTAATCGTAATAATATAAAAAGAATAGTTATTACTATGAAACTTACTATAAACTATAAAGTATAGAAAATTAGTTTTGGATTGATTAAGAATTATTATTAATTAAGATTTTCTAGATCAAATTTCAAAAATACCTTAATGGTAAATAGTTCAGTTCGATTTTTTTTTTCATTTTGTGTTCGGTTTGGTTCGACATTTGACCCATCACTAGTATAGATATTAGTATTTTATTTGGATTTAATTTTTTGTGTAAGTCTACAGTAAGTATTGTATTGTTGTTTGTATATAAAGTAAGAAATTTATTTTAACATTTGAGTACTATGCCAACCCATTTTTTAGCATTTTTTTCAATTCTGGTCTGATGATGTAATACTTAAATGTTCTCTACTGGTTTCTGTAAACTATCTAACTGCATTGATTAATAATTACTTTAAATGATATTCTAATTTTATTATTTATATTCACTGTATAGAATTAACTTGATTATTTCATGGTTTCATGTATAGGTATCACTTTTTTCTTCAATTGAAGATGGATGTTATCGAAGGTCGCATTCTTTGTGATGCTGATCAAGCTGTACTACTTGCTAGTTATAGTATGCAAGGTAATAGACATTAAATTTACTTATTTTAAATGAAGAATTTGTTTAAGTTCATGGCATAAAATATTATAAACAATTGTGTATGTGAATAAATAATTTAAAAATTAGTTTTTTAGATTTAGTTTATTTTATCTAATTTTAATATAAAACTAACAGAATTAAAAATTTATTTAACAACCTTGACTTTATAAACTATATAAAAATCTGTACTATGAAATGGTATTAACTTTTAGTAAATGTTTTGTAAGATATTATTGGTAACTTTTTTTTGTTTTTTTATTATTTTATAGCGGAGTTTGGGGATCATGATTTGGAAAAACATACATCTGAGTACCTTAAAGATTTTGTACTTTTCCCTAAGGTATAATTAAATTAAAGTTATTTAATTTTTATTTTATTTATTTTTTCGAGTCAAATACTCTTGTAGATATATGTACTGAAATGTAATTTTTTTTTATGTTACTATCTATAAATTGATAAAATGAAATGTGTTTTATTTAACTGCAGCATTTAATAGCAATACAAGGGCGTCTTGAAAGTCTCACAGAAGCTGTTATCTGCCAACATTTAGCTCTGGCAGGCTTGCCCCAAGGGACTGCTGAAGAGTATTACATCATTGCAGCTCAGCAGTTAGAAGGATATGGACAGGAAAAGTTTTTAGCCAAAGTATAAAATATTTAAATTTAATTGTGATTGTTTAATAGTGTTTTAATTAAACTGTTAAATGATTTTTTTTTAGGATGATAATTCTGCTGAAGTGACACTTGCAGTTAGTCTTAGAGGTGTGACAATTCAAAATCAAAACAGAAGTACAACATTTTACCCGTGAGCTTATATTTTATTTATTTATTTACACGTTTTGTATTTGATCAAAATATTGTTTGTAGATGGGAAGATATAGCAAATGTAATAAATCATAAACGGTATTTTAGTATAGAAGGACAGCATGAAAATTTTATACAATTTCAGTTCAATGATGTCGAAACTGCTAAATATGTTTGGAACATGTGTGTTTTACAGGTAAACTATTATATATTTTTTTAGTGAAATTATTTATTTGTTCACCCATGTGTGTAATGTTTTTTTACTAATTATTGGTGTTTTTATAATTAGCACATGTTTTACGGGCTGCATGAAAAAATTGATCAAACTGGTGACAACAAGGCTGATATAATGAGAAAAAATTTGGAATCTCATATCGATGTAAGCTGTCAAATATATATATCGTTTAATAATAATGTTTTTTATTATAACTGAAAATATTAAGATTAATTTAAATAAATATTTTATTTTTTAGAATAATATAGAAAGCAGTCGAGAAGAATTAGATGCTGTTGATGCTACAGAATCAGGCATGATCAGAAGCTCTTTTCCTTTTAACGGAGTTCGTGCTCAATCAACATCCTGTTTGGATTTGTCCTCTTCACAAATAAGTGAAAAAGCACGGTTGGAAAAAATTGGGCACAAATCTATGTGAGTTAACAAATAATAATTACTAATGTTATGAGACACTTAATATTTAAATATTAATAGATCTAAATTACCATCATACCGACTGGCTCCTGATTATGAAACTGCTGTTCAGCGAAAATATTCACAAGGCGATTATTATAATCCAACTCCTAATTTAATTCCTACTGCTTCTATTAGTCATCAAGATATTAATCTTCATCAGGTTAGTCATTGAATGTTAATATAAAATAATTTATATTCATAGTTACTTTTTTGCTCAGGATGCAATAATATTTGTCCATAATATTTAAGCTTTGTGTGCATAATTTAAAAATGTATTTTTTTTAGTTATGAATGATTCTTCAATTTTAAAATTAACTACTAGTGCTTACTAAGCTATTTTGTTCAAATTATCCGTATAAATGTTTTTATCAAAATAAATGTTAGTTTTTTTTTTTTTTTATTGAATTACAAAATTATAATTGAAATCCATAAATGTTCAAGGTTATAGTTTTAACTAAAAATATTTTCTTATGATCTTTTCCTTGAAATTGAAGTTTTTAATAGTTAAGTATTGAAATATTTTCAATTTATTCAATCAGTGAGAATAATTTAAATATATAGTAAAAAAGTATTAATTACTAAATTATACTCAGCAGTATTTAGCTGTTTACCTTGTTTATTCATTTACTGTCACTTTTGTAATTTTAGATTTTAAGTTAATAAATTTTGAGTATTGGTATTATCATGATGTGTGTTTTTTTGTCTTTGTTTACGATTATGACCTGAAGGAGTGCTCTAATCATCATAATCACAGAAATAAAATATTGGTCTTAGTATCTATTTTATGCTTAGAGTGGTTTCAACAGTTTTCTAAATAACTGAGAAAGATTTAAAAAAAATTACATATAACCTTCAACCTAGATTGAGATTTGAAGTATTACTAGTATTTTGCAATGCACTATTTTTTTTTTTGTGATGGTGTATAACAAATTTGACTTAAAGGATTGTTCGAATCATAAAAATTATAAGTTTAAAATAAGTAGGTTAAAATAACTTTTTTTCCTATTTGAAATTGTCTCAATAATCGCGAAACTGATGAATTATTTTTAAAAAATGGCATACCAGTTTTCGACAAAATCAAATTGTATTCACATTATCACGTAATAATAATCTTATGGATTTGAAATGTTCATTAAATGCACTGATATCACCTTTTGTTATAAATTATATAATTTAAATTAGATTTCGACTTATAGCTATAATAGTTTTACATCATGATTTAAGTGTTTTCTTTTTGTTTTTACACAATTTCGACAAAGATTGTTCTAATCATCACAATCATTGGAGATTTCTGAAAGAAAACACTGTCTAGTTGGTTCTTAGAAAATGTATCTTTTTACGAATTTCCTAACAGTTTTCTTAGTATGTACAAAATATTAATGAAAAGTTATAAAAATGTAGCAAAATTTATAGTATACTATATTTGGACAAAATAGTTATAGTTTTTTTTTAACAACTTAAAAAATAATCATAGAGACATACATTTTTAACTGAATGTTTATATTTGTTATAGATGGTATATAATTTATTTTTCTTAATTATTTATAGAAAATTAATATTTTCATGTTTACTTAGATTTTTTTTAAAAATGCCAATAAAATAATTTTAGTTAGACAAATATTTTTGAAAATTGGATGCAACATTTTTCATATCATTTTTTTTTGTAACCAAAAAAAAAAAAAAGAAAAAAAATTCTGGAAATTTGTAAAAATGGTTTATAAGTGTTATAAAATGAGATTTTGAGATTAATTACATTATTATTAGATATTAATTAAAAAATATTTTAATGAAGTTTGTGCTTATTATAGGCACTTGAAATTGTTGACTTTCCTAAATTATAGATGTCTTATTTTGTTGCAAAAGTTAGAATTTTACAAGTTCAACTTATTTTATTATGAAGTTATTATTATATATTTTTTAATTGATTTAAGTTAAAACTAAAAAAATAATTATGTTTAATGAATTTTTATATTTTATTTTTATTATTAGTATTTAGTAGTTACTTATGGTCATTATAAATGTGGATACATTGTGATTAGTGAAGATTATTTACAATGTGATGTTAATCTTTAGTTATGATTAAAGTAATCAATATTGTATTGATTAGATTTTTATTTTTGTAAAGTACATGTCAAACTAATGAATTTTATGTCACATTGTGTATAGGTTTTATTCTATTTATTACAACTATAAATAACAATAATTTAGAGTAATTAAAATGTTATCTTTATTAATTAATAATAATATAATATTTGTATAAATAAATGTTATAATTTATATGTTTATATATCTGTATAAATGGGCTACAAGTCATTATTTTAATTTGTTATTTTTATTTTTTTTAGTTAAATAATGATTATAAGCAATTTCCTGATGTGACTCAGGTCAATACAGCGTCAACTATTCATCCTGTTCATGGGTGTGTACCTATAGTTGTTATTATTTATTTAGTTTTATTTGACAAAAGCATTATTGGTTTGTTCATTCATTGAAATATTTTTTTTTTTAGTAAAACGGATTTGGACATTCCAACTCGGGATACTGAATATGTACAAATTTACAAACCGCCACCACCTTATCCAATTAGTAATAGTACACCAGATTTAGCAAGAGCATGTCCATTAGGTTTTATTCAAAATCCTGTAAGTTATTAGTTGATTTAATTTTTTTCTTTTTACTTATAATGTATATAATTTTTAGGTAAGTGGTTCAAGCCCCGACCTTTTGTCATCAAGAGTTCATAACTTTCAGATAGCTCCAAACCGTCACAATGCATCTAATATGTTAACTAATTCTGATACACACAGGACTTATACAAATTTGAATTCTTTAGTTGAATCTAGACAGGTTTGAATTTTTTCAAGTCAAATTTGGTCAAGTAATAAATATATGTTATTGATTTATTTTTAAGAATTTGGACGAGTTTCGAAGTGGTTTTAATGGAAACAATATGATGTATTATATGGGTCAATATGGTCCAATTTTAAATCAGCCAATAACTAGTGTGCTTGTTAATGAAAGACCACATAACTGCAACACAGGTAAGCATTTAATGTTTAGAAAGCTGTAAAATGATATTGTATTTTATCAAAATATTTATTAAAATCAAAAATTGTATACAGTTGTAAATAAATTCACCGAGCCTATTTATGAGAATGTGCCATTACCATGGAATTCTAAAGAAGTTCGCAGTCGTGCATCAAGTGTACAATCAGCTCCTGAAATTAAGTCACCTAATAAAATTATCCAACAAGTACTGCCTGTTCAAAAAGATATATTTGTAGAAAATCCACACAGTGAAATAATACCTACTAAAAACAATGCACTGGATATGAGCAGTAATTCTGTTAATTCATTACAAGTGACCTCAACATTAGCTAATCATTCAGCTGAGCAGTCTTTTGGTAAATTCAGCATTATTATTAAATTCTCGGTGATAATTGAGTTAGATTGAGTATAATTTAAAATTATCTTATTGTTATTTTTGAAGATTCTTCAAACCAAAGTAGTAGCAGTGGAACATTGAAAAAAGAAGGACGAAGTAAAAATCTCCGAAAATGGACTGGTTTGTTGAGTGGGGCGGTGAAAAGTAAGACTCTAACCAGAAATGGTGAAATAAGTGTTGAAGAATTTAACAAAAGGCACTCATCTGTTCCAAGGCTACCTATACCGTCTACTATTTCTAAAGATACTATGGTATGTAGAATAATATCTGTTATTATTCAATAAATTAAATGTTACTGCATTTTTTTTTTTTTTTTGTTTCAGTGTCAACTCTTAGAACATAAGTTAGAAGATACCCAGTTGTTTCAAGAGTTTGATAAAATCACAAAAGTTAAGCCAAATGCTGAATTTTCTTCTACATTTGCTCTAGAAAACTTTTCAAGAAACAGGTATGTGTTTTCTAACTTGTAGTGGTTGTATTTTAAGTTTTATTAAAAAATGTTAATTATAGGCATAAGGATATTTTGCCTTACGAAGAGAATCGAGTTCGTTTATCACCAAGTAAAGAAAACCGATTTGGATATATTAATGCATCCCACATTACTGTAAGTTTTATTGTAAGATAGTTTGTTTACTATTTGTCAATTTTTGATTTATGTTAATAGGCATCAGTGGGAAATGAACAAAGGTTTTATATAGCTACGCAGACACCATTACCGAATACTGTGAATCATTTTTGGCAAATGGTATGGGAAGCTGGTGTGCACCTTGTGCTTGATTTATCCCTACCAAAATCTCATACTATTGATGAAAGTTATGGTGATTATTACCCAACAGTAGCAGATCATTCTGTCCAATTTGGCGAAGTTTGTATATTTTTTTTAAAAATTATTTTGAATTTTTGTAAATGCTTAGCTTTTATTGGTTAACTATTGTTTTAGTATCATGTGTGGCTACAGTTTACACAGGAAACTGGTCACTGTGTTACTAGTAAATTGAAACTGCAACACAACTCATCTAGACGATCTAGAAGTGTTTGGCATTTAAGGTATAATCAATGGATTGATCAAGATTGTCCTGCTGATGTTTCACACTTTCTTGGTAAGTAATTGTAATTAGCTAAAATAATAGTTAATCAAAACTAAATTTTTGTATTGAAATTAGGCTTTTTGGAAGAAATGAGTTCAGTACGTGAACACACAATCACAGAGATACCTACTGGACAGAATCGTAATCCACCAATTCTTGTTCATTGTAGTACAGGAGTGGGTAGAACTGGTCTTACAGTATTAAGTGATCTTCTTTTGTATACATTGGACCATAATCAGGTACAAATCTATATTTATAAAATAATTGTTTAGTTATATTAAATCAATTAAAACAGATTAGTTTTATATATTTTTATTTACAATGTCTTATTCCAAACTAACTTAATTCTTATTAAATCTTTAATATACTTGAAATAATAAAATATTTGTTACAAATATATAAATGTAATTATAATAATAATAATTATATTATGAGTAAAGGAATCATTGAAATGTATTAATGCCATTTTTATTTTAGGAATTGGACATACCTAAAACAGTATCACTAGCTCGACATCAGCGCATGTTGTTTGTGGAAACAGTTGCTCAATACAAATTTATACACTCATTGCTCATTTACTATTTGAAAAATTCACGTCTCATTTAGTCTAAAACGATGAATGGATATTGAACACAATAAGGTTGTTATGCTCAAAATACTAGTAATTGTTGCAGGGTCATTGACTAAACATAAAGAAAACATTTTTTGCATGTATGTGTTTATTATATACTAAAAGAAAAAGCAATGTTAATGAACAAAATGTTTTCCAGCGTTTTATAATAATAACGCTTACAATAATAAAAATCTAATAATAATATCAGTGTAATATTACTTTATATTGTTCATTTTAGTTTTTTTTTTACAATGAATTAAATTCATTAACAAATTATTTTATTCCTCTAACAGCAATAATGTTCTAGTTTTTTTTTATAAATAATATGTTAGTTACAGTAATTTAGTATTATTGCTTATTGTTTAATTGTTGTATTCTAAGAATATAGTTCTTAAGTTAAGTTATTATCTTTATGACACCAATCAAGTATTAAATTTTTTTATATAATTGTTAAGATATTAGTTATTTTTTAAACTTTTAACTATTGTTTAAAATGTGCACTTCGACTATTTATTAATATCTATAAATTAAGTATTTTATTTTTATATATGTTTTATATAATATATTTATAAATTAATAATTTGATTTTGTCATAAAAGCCAGTAACATTATTGTGCGCACGCCTTGTGACCTAGTTATATTTTTTTGAAAAAAATCATTAATATTAGACTTTAAGAACAAATTTTTCTATTTTTTACTATTATTTCGGTATTAATAATTTAATTATTATTGTTAAATGTTGACTTGTCAATAGTATAAATTTGTTATAATTATTTAACTTTGTTAACAGCATATTTTATACGAATAAATCTTGATTTTTGTAACAATACTTGAAGAAAAATTATTCTCAAAGACTTATAATTTCCTTCTTCAAGTAAAGTCAAGATTTTATAGAGATATCTTATCATTTATTTGATAATATATGTTCTGGTGTTTCTCCTCTATTAGCTATTCTTTCCCCTACTTTTTATAATATATCTAAGTTTCCGATTAGTCAAACACTCTTAACACAATAGTTGCTTATTATGTCTATGATAAGACGCTATAATTTGCATTTCGAACCAGCTAAAATATCTTAATCATTAGATCATTAGGTCATTGAAACAGGGTAAGTTATAAGTAAGACAGTCTACAACACATTCACTCTTCGACTTGCACTCTTATCCGGAAGTCAAGCTTTTTAATGTCTCACTTCTCACTATACAAACCATGCCTTTCTTGGGCACTTCCTATTCCTTTTACAAAACTGTGAACAAAATGTTAGAAAAACTTTAAGTGAATGAAAAGCACATACATTTTAAAACAAGATAAGTTATACAAATCAACAGTATCTTGTGCACTAAATAAGAAAAAGAAGAAAAATAGCGGAAAAATCTCAATCAAGACATTACTTCTTTTTTTTAAAGTTTTAATGAAATATTTTCTATAACATACTAAAAGTCAACATGGATTGGACTGGAAGAAAGTTTAAAAATGTGCACTCTTTTTGAATAGCTCAAAAAGTATTACAAATATTTCAAGTAAAAGTTGTTTATCAGACAGTTTACAAAATAAAAGTTAACTTGTATTTTTTCATTTAAACAAATATTTTTGTAAGATATATTTCTTTAAAAATTGACACTTAAAAAATAATTTTTTTCTTTTTCCGAGTTCAATTATTTTCTTACGCTATTATAAACATTTTTAAGTTTTCCAAGCTAAAGCCATTGATTATAAATACTTATAATGTATATTTAATAACTTAATATACAAATTATTTGTTGCGATAAAAAAAAAGTTATAATTTAAAATTAATTACACTATATAGCAGAGGTTCCCAAACTATGGATCGCAATTATATTTTTAATGGGTTGCATTATATTTTTCATGTGTTTCTATTACTTATGGTTGATGTTTAATTATTTAGTTAGTTTTATTATTAACTGTTATCTGAGCTTGTGACAATTACAAATTTACTGTGACCAATAGATATAAAAATATTTCTTTATATGTCTATGCTTGACTGTGTCAACACAACGCAACAGTGGCGCACACAGTATTTTTTTTTTGGGGGGGGGTCAAGGTAAAAATATAACAGATTTTACAATTAACAAAATTATGCAAATCCTTAATATATTTTGACTTAAATAATAGCATTTATAATAGAATAGACTATTCTATAATCAATGATACTATGTATTCAATACTAACTCTTCATATTTCAAACTTGTAAAATTTGTAAATTTTAACCTACATATCGGAGAAAATTTGGGGGCGCGTTACAACCCCTTAACCCCCCACCCCATGCGTGCGCCACTGCAACGCGATCGGATTAATGATTATTGAAAATATAGCAATATATTTGAAACAAATTAGTAGCTGTATGACGTTCAAATAAATTGATTATTTTCAGTAACAAACGGTACATTGAATACGATACATGCACGCAGTTTAAATCTTACTATTTTTCAAATAACCAATAAATTCGTATTTTTTTGTGCTTTTGTACATTTACTACGGACAAATGGTTAAATAAAAAGTTCTACAAAAACTGAAGAAACAGAGATAATATTTGAGTCAGCGGTTAAAAAAAGAAAATTGATGATGAGCTTACAACAAGTTCTTTGCAATCAAAATAAAAGTGGATATCAATGCAGTTATGAAAAATAGGAAACAATTACATCTTTCACATTAAAATTAGGTATATATTTACTAATTAAATTACATAGTATAAACTTTTTTTTTATAAATTTAATACTTTTCTTCAATTTAAAGTGATGAAAACAGCAAAAAAAAAAAAAGGTCAATGATATTATTTTGGGTTGTCAAAATTGAAATAATTTCCAAAATGGGTCGTACTATAAGAAGTTTGGGAACCTTTGCTATATAGCATATTATACTTCTAAGTTTCTTATTGTTTTTCTTCTTCTACGGTATCGTCTAATATTTGTTATTGTTATTGTCAATTATTATTAATAATTCTACAAGTTTACAATATTCTGCATAATTAATCTTTATTTCTTTAGAATTAGCGCAACATTGGCCTTTGCAACGTCCGCATATAATTCAGCATTTAAGACCTGGTTCTCGACAGCCACAGTTCTTACCGTAACCTTTGATACAGTTACATGATATACATCTTAGCATTCGATCGGGTGCTGGAGCTTTCAGTGTTGTTACTGGCGACAAAATATTATTTTGAAAAGTTCACCCCAAAACTTCGGGGTTTTTTTATATGGTCTAGCCGTAACTGCATTTACAATTAAACTCTGCAAGAATGTTGTTTGACAGCTTCTTATGTCACAGATGTATTTCTAAGAAATTTATCTTGCTAGATACTTGTAAAGTTGAAAATATACGACTTTTATTTTGTATAGTGTCCTATAAACAATTTTTGTTCGTAATAATTTTTGAGCTGTTCAAAAAAGCTCACATTTTTGACTTTTTTGAACTAATAAAAAAAAAAGAAAAAAGTTCCAATCCGATCCATGGGGTAATTTAGTATGTTATAAGGCAGGTTTCGTTGAAGATTTTAAAAAAAAAAATCTTGGTTGGGATTTTTCCCGCCATCTGTAAAAATATAATCTCGATTGCCTGGTCTACGCGGCAAAAAAATAAATAAAAATACATGTAAGACGAATCGAATAATAATCATAACATCGAATCGAATTTCAACACTGTAAACTAAGACGATGTCGATCGTTCGCAGGCCTATCGCGGACAACGGAAACAGCATCATCCATGTTATCAACTACTGCTCGGCATTCCATGTCCACCGGTTTTCTCGTACGTTTTTTCCCATTTCTTTGACAGAATCTTGTTTCGGTAAGTCGTCAAGCGATTCGAATTATTTCTGTAGCGTCTAAGGCAAAAGACGAGTACTGTTCCCCCGGCAGATCTCAAAGCGCGATTCGAATGAAATAGTTTTTTCTTTCGTTCGATACGGTTTCGCCGTACGTTTGTCGTCTTGCGGTTCGTTTAGTGTTACGTTTTCGTCCGGACGGACGCGTCCGGCTTATCGATCTAACGTTCCCGACACGAAGCGCTGCCGGCGCACGTAGCAACGGCACAACCGTCAACGATTCGTTCCGACGGACGGAGTCGAGTCCTTGGCGCGTCGAAATGGATCCGGATTCGTTGGACTGGATATGGCAGGATCTCGCGACGGCCGACAGCACGAATGAACCAAAGGCGGACGTCGACAACGACGACGACGACTTCGACTTTGACTTCTGCAGGTCCGGCGACGAGGGCCGCGGGTCCGACGACGATGACGTCAGCAGCGACTCGAGCGCGGGCTACACGTGGACGGCGGCTACGGATACGAACACGATGCGAGAGCTGCGCGAGCTCGTGGACGGCGTCGAGAAGGAATTGAAGTCGATGAGCTTCGTGAACGACTTGGACGCCGGCGACGGGTCCGCGACGTTGGTCGACTCCGAACACCTCGAGGAGGCCGATCGCGAGTCCGACGACACGAGGTTTTACGTGGACGCGGTGGACGCGGTCCGGAGGAAGATATCGCAAGTCCGACTGGTGTGGGCGGACGCGGTGCATCGATGCACGACCGACGGGTGAGTACAGTACAGCGCTGCAGTACACGTACGCACGTATAGGGCCGTAGCAAGGGGCGAGCGCTAGAGGAGCCTACGCCCCGGGCGCTATTCCCGGGAGGGTGCAAAAATGAAAAAATTTCAATTTAATTGTTACTTATAAGTAAAAGTAATATTATGTATTCATATATGTACTTGTATAATTTATAAATATTATCATGTTAAATTTATGAATCTACTTATAATTATTATGTATATTTATATTTTAATAAGCTATTGATTTAAATAAAATTAACAAATGCTTACATAATTACAAAGAAAAATTATTATTTATATTGCGTTTATAAAAAAATTCAATATTTTTATAAATTAAAATACTTTTGAAGCATTTTGAAGTCTCGCCCCGAGCGCAATATTTGGTTGTTACGGCCTTGCACAAATTTATGTGTATAGATTCCATAGGCGCAATTTCAGTTTTTGACTCGGGGGGCGGGGGGGCTATCCATATATAAATTAAAGTGACCTGTGGAAGGCGGATTCCCCCCACACCATCTACAAATATTATTTGTACGATGTACAACATAATATAGGTATTTAGAATTCTCATCTAAGTCAGTGGTCTTCAACCTTTTTGGACTCGCGACCCACGTAAGCTTTATAAAAAAATCTAAAATTGCTTAATGCTTTGCAGTAGTACTATTAAAACGGAATAAATAAAAATTACATATTAGTAGGTAGAATATTTAATTATTATTAATTGAATATGTATAGAATTCATATGAAAATATGATACAAAAAATTTAATGTGAGCATTGTCCTTGAGTGTTTTCACATAATAAATTCCACCTTGGCTCAATTTGACTAAGCACAATCCATAAATCATCTTCAGTTTCAAGTCTGTTTCTTTTTATGTTTTCAAATTTTCCATAGTAGAAAACGTCTTTTCGCATAAATAAGTCATAAAGAAATATTAATAAAATTAAGATGGCTTTAGTTACTAATTCTGCGTAATTTCCCGTGCATAAGTGTGCCCAAAATATTTCTAATGAAGTTTCACAAAACATTTGTTTCAATTTGTTATCACACGATAGCTCAGTCAGTTGATTTTCAATGTCAGAAGACATATTTACTGTCATTATATCTACTGCGAATGGTTGTTCAATCCACTCATAATTTACTCGAATACCTTCAGGAAAATATCGGTTAAATAATTTTTCTAAGTTTGTTAAATGTTCGTTTACTAATTCGGAAATGTCTTCAAACTTGATTGAAGAATCTTCTTCTAAAAAATCACTAACGTTGGTTAAATTATCAATATTTCCAGAAGATACTCGAGCTTTTATTATACGAAGTTTTTTCTTAAATGATTCAACTTTTTTTGTATGATTAAATATGTTGAAAAAATTGCCCTGCGTAGACAGATTTAAGTTATTGAGTAAATTGAAAATATCAGTTAAGTATGCCAAAGTTATAATCCATTTTGAATCTTCAAATAAATCTTTGTAGATTGAATTTTTACTATTTAAGAATAAAATTATTTCTTGTCGTAATTCGTAAACTCTTTGAAGAAACTTTGATACCTCTTGATAACCAACGTACTTCAGTGTGTAACAATAGATATTCATGGAATGAAACCATTTCTGAACAGAGTGTTTTAAATAAACGTGAATTTAAAGCATTTGATTTTATATAATTTACAATTTTAACAATTTGTGCTAAGACGTCAGTCAATGTTTTGGACATTTTTTTTGATGCAAGTGCTGCTCGATGTATAATGCAGTGTGTCCACTTTAAACTTGGAACAATGTCTTTTACTAATTTTATTAGTCCGACATGTTTTCCAGTCATAGCAGCTGTCCCATCAGTTGTTATAGAAATACAATTTTTTAAATCTACGTTAGTGTTAGTAAAAAACTTTACTAACGTGTCAAAAATGTTTTTTCCAGTAGTTGAAGTTTCAAGTTTTGAGGAGAATAGTATATCTTCGTGGATCTTGTTGTTATAAAAATACCTTACATATGTAAGCAAAATTGCTTCGTTTGCAATATCGGTGTTCTCGTCAAGTTGTAAAGATAATTTTCCTGTTAACCGAGACAAAAGTTGCAATTTTAAATCATTACTCATAAGTGATATACGTCTAGCGATTGTAGTATCAGAAAGAGGAATATTTTTTAATTGGTTTGCAACTTTTTCATTTATCATTTCCGTACACATTTCAATAGCAGCAGGTAATATTAGTTCTTCTGATAGAAACTCTATACACTCATCAGGTAGAGTAGCAATTCTGATAAAAAAAACATAAAACACTACCAATCAACCCTGTCCAACATTACCAACATTGAGGCCACTGCAATAATAGTATCAACAGAAAGACATGATATAAAAATAATCTCGGCATATAATCCACCAAATAAAAAAATCTTACAAAAAGACATATCTCTTCTATTTCAAGGCATGCCAACCATACTCTTAGGTGATCTTAACTCAAAACATCAAACCTGGGGCTGTCAGAAAACTAATCCAAATGGTAACAAGCTACACAAATTCACATCTGAACAAGGGATCATAATATCACCACCTGCCGAACCTACTTTCCATCGGTCAGGTAGACTACCCGATATACTTGATATTGCTCTTATATCGAATCTTCCAATTGACCTGCATCACGTAGTCCAGAACGAACTCGATTCCGACCATGTACCGGTTATCTCCACCTTAAATGAACAAATCAAAGCCAAAAACCCAATTCCAAAATTAATTAATGCTCCTATAAACTGGGAAGCATTTAAGAAAAATCTGGATGAAAAACTCAACAACCAAAAACGATATAGTGACCTTGATGATATCAATAAGAGTATCGAGCATATAACGGACATAATAAAAATTGCAGTCACTCAAGCGCAGACCAAAAAACACACAGCTACACTTCAGCCAACCAATTCCCTTCCATATCCCGTACAAAATTTAATAAAAGAAAAACACAAAATTAGAAGAATATGGCAGAGAACTAGAAACCTAGCAGTCAAAAGAAGATTAAATCAACTGAACAGGAGAGTTAAGTGGGAACTTGACAACTTAAGATATAACTCCTATCGCACCTACCTTGAAAAGGTAAATCCAAATGACTCTAGTCTCTGGTTGGCAACAAAAAGAATCCTGAACCAACGAAATCCTATTCCCCCATTAAAAAATGGAATTGCCAAATACGACACCAACCTTGAAAAGTCCGAAGCATTTGCTGAATACTTTGAAACCTGCTTCACTTCGGAGGACGACACTATTCCACAAAGAGAAAGCCCAGATGAAATACCAAGTTCAACTAACAATGAGCATAACATTATCATCCCAACATCTCCTAAAGAAATTCAACTGCTCATATCTAAACTAAAAAGTATGAAGCCCAGGTCACGATCTAATAACCAACAAAATCCTAAAAAACCTGACATCAAAAGCATTATCCTACTTAGCATCTTTATTCAACTCAGCCATGCGCATTGCTACCTTCCCTTCTACATGGAATCATGCTATAATAGTCCCTATTCACAAGCCAGGAAAGCCAGCCAATTCCCCCACTAGCTACAGACCAATCAGTCTACTACCAACTGTACGAAAGAATATTGCTGAATAGGATAAAACCCTACCTTCACGTTATCCCGAAACATCAATTCGGATTTAAAACCAAACACTCCACATGCCACCAAATCCAACGCATATCCGAAATAATTGTACATGGTTTCGAAAAAAAACAATATACCACAGCAGCATTCTTAGACCTAACCCAAGCCTTTGATAAGGTCTGGCACAGTGGGCTTGAACAAAAATTAAAAATATTAAAATTCCCCGAATACCTACTCAAAACTATCAAATCCTTCATATCCAACAGATCTTTCAAAGTAAGAGTGGAAACAGACTTCTCACAACTACACCAAATCAAAGCTGGAGTCCCCCAAGGATCTGTTCTTGGACCAACCCTATTTAATATTTACTGCTACGACATCCCGATCCCTCTCAACTGTCAATTAGCAATGTTTGCGGACGACACGACAATTCTCACCCAAGACAGTTCCTTAGAGTTAGCAATTCAAAATCTACAATCCTCATTAAATGAAATAATCACCTGGTTCAAAAAATGGAAGTTGAATCTAAACCCAACTAAAAGTGAGGTTAAAATATTCACCCTTAAAAGATATACCAACCCCAAAAACATTTACATAAATAACCATGTCATTCAATGGAATAACAAAGACGACGCAGTCAAATACCTAGGTGTCCACCTAGATGAAAAACTTACCTGGAACATTCACATAAACAAAAAACTCGTACAGGGCTACACAAGGATGAGAATTCTTTACCCTCTAGTCAACTATAGATCAACGCTACAACTTAAGTCATCACTCCTCCTATATACCTCAATAATCAGACCGCTTATAACGTATGCCTGCCCTGTCTGGGCAGCAGCCTCAAACACTAAAATTAAAAAAATCCAAACTCTCCAAAACAAATTCCTTAGAATTTGTCTTAAAGCACCTTGGTATATGAGGAATCGTCAAATACACAATGATACAGGAATATCCCCAATAAATATCTGGATTAAAACCCAACTAAAAAACTTCCACTCCAAACTGAAAGACTCGGACGGAGCCCGCCATTACCAACTAGGAAAGAAAACCCAAAATAGGCGACTGCGACCCCGACTACCTCAAGACATTCTCATATCAGACACCGAAGAGCCCTCATCAGAAGACGAAGAATAACCAACAAATAATGTCAAGCTTAACTATTGACTATTATCATTATAACTATATACCACCTATATACCATTGTAATCCCTAACATAAATGTAAAATATTAAATTTCAACTGTTAATGTAATATAACGTACCGTACTTGTAATAGCACCTAAAGTGCTGAAACATTTTAAAATAATAAATAAAAAAAAAAAAAAAATATTAGTTCTTCCCCGGCGGTATATGGTTTCAAATATTTTACAATTCTATACGAGACTAAAAACGATGCTTTTAAAACTGACTGCGAAACTGATGAATATTTTTTTGAATGATTTTTTGATTTTTATGAAAGTTAGGTTTTAATGATTCGAAATACTCTAAAGGTTTTTCATTTTAAATTAAGAAATGTTGATAGTTTTAAATTTTCATTTGCGAGCAATTATCAACAGACTACTCATTGTGGTTGAACCAAATTGCTGTGATTTCCCATATTAAAAGCACAAAATCCAAATCTTAAATAATTTTCATCATATCTTCGCCCAATAAATTCGGATTTGTTTCTTTTACGGGAGTTTTTCTCCGTGCTATGGTATAGATGTGTACATGTTCAGCCGTTCGCTGTGCGCACTGTTATCTCGGAGCGATACTGATCTCGTCCATCGTTGAGCTTTACGCCTTTTCCCCCAACCCACTCCCGGGTACACTTGGGCGCGTGGACCCGCGTTCCGGCGAAAGAGCGAGTTGGCACGTCTAATGAACCATCATGTGTGGACAATTAAGTGAACTTAAAAAATGTTTGGTTTAACATCGTGGTATATTATAATACCGACGAATACGTTTTCCTCAAACCTTGGTATGCTGTTCGCCGATAACTCGGATCATTTATGATTTGTACTTCTGTACAATCGGTCGCAAAGTTTTCGGACGAAAATTTATAACATTTTGTTTTACATTTTTTTCTGTTACGAAGCATATTTTTTTCTCCCCAAATATTTTAGAATAAATTACATTCAATTTGAGTGACATCAGCTGAAATACAGACTCATTACTCTTAGACTTAAACTATAGGGCCTCATTTACAACATTTCGAAATATGTCCGAACAAACCAGGCACTCCCCCGTATGTACGCTTATACCTCGACGTTACAGAAAATGTTTAAAACCACCAGTCCATTTGCATGCGATTTCGAAACAATTCTTCGTCAACTAAATAGTAGTGAAATAAGTAATTTACAATAGTAATATATCACAAAAAAAGCACGATGCGTATCTAAGAGTAATAGACATATTTATTTTTTACCTTTGCACAATGTTGTTACACTAATTATTAAATGTTTACTATATTTAAATAGTAAAAAATAAAGTAATTTGTACTCAAATATTTTACAAACATTAATTTTTTTTTACCTTGTTCAAAGCCGGTCTTACACGGTTTGCAAGTATACACGATCAGTTCATAATTAAATTAATCGTAGACATTCGTTAGTAATGCGGGACTAGACGGTTGTTATAATTATGCACTCGTGATGGTTGTAGTTGATCGCCCAGAAGGTGGCAAAATTGTTCCGAGTAAAATCGAGCCGAACGGCATTCGTACGTAATCGGAGCGATTATCATGCTGAGAGAGAATAATTGAGAATGATTGAAAATAATCAAATAGTAAACAAATGCCACCTGACTCGTAAGTCGCTGAACTTAAAGTGAATACTTGTATTATAGTTCGTGCTCGACTCTACTCCCGATTAGTGCATTCGCTTCGAAGATTGTGCAATTAATATGAGGATAGTCACTCGTCTCTAGACTTGTAATTACTTGTGAGTACCGTGAGACCACCTAAATGTAATGGTTTATATGATAACTAGAAACATTGTAAAATGCTCATGTTATACACGAAACAACATTTTGTAAAATGTGTTTTATTCGTATTTTCTAAAACCAACCGGCACTATTCATAATGTCTAGGAATTATGCATGATGCCTAAATTATCTATGTTGTCGGTAATATATAATATGTTTTGTATAATATTATACTGCATCTAATGCAAAGAGTTTTAAACATTATTCGAATGACATTTAACAGGAAAAACGTACCGGATTCTTTTGTAAAAACGACAAACATCGAAAAAATAGTGCTTTTGTATGCCAGCAATTTCATCGAACAGTTCAAAATGAAATATCCCAATAGAAGACAGTTGAGTTTGGTACTAGAAAACGAATGCGGCGTTCAGGTACGTCAGAAACAATAAGTATGAATTTGAATTATAAATATTTAAGGTAGTATTTTGAAATTAAATAATAATAAATAAAATATTGTTTCATTATTCACGTCACTAAAAATAAATGAAACTATTCCTTATTATATAGTTAATATCTAAAATGTCAGTAATAATAAAAGTACTAAATACTCAAGAGATCAACCGATTATGAATGTTCATAACTCGGTACGTTATTTAGTAATTAAATATTTGAAAAAAATCACGTTTTTAAGTTTCTTCATTTTGTAAGTTTCAATATTTAACTGTAAATGTTTTATTTAAAAAAAAAAAAAAAAATTTCTACGTCTATTATTACACTTCATAACCATTTTTAGAATTCTTTAGTTCAACCAAAAAATAATATGTCGTATTAAAAATAAAAATTTTTTTTCTAGAAATGCGTTTGTACTGCAATTAAACCATCTCGGTTAGTCTACCACGATTTGGACGATTTGATCAGTTACAGTGAATTTGTTGCCAATTACATAACGTATATCAAATTGGATGACCCAACAAATGTGGTAAAGTATTCATTACATTTGTATAGATTTTGTTAACACATCAGAATATTTAATAGCTTCTACAAAACAATTTACCAAGTATATATAATTATCACTCACTTTATACAAAAACGAAAACTCGATTGAAAACGTTGTCTTAGGTTTCCAGAGCCTAATTAATAATCAATTTGTTATTATCCTGTAGTTTTAGCAAATCCAGTTGAACTAAGATACTAAGCTAGGCAAGAAAAAACTAGTTGAAAAAATAGTTGTGAAAACTTGAGAATAATAAATTATTTAATTCCAATTTTCAGCCAAAGAAAATTATGTCTCCTTTGACGACACTGGAAAATCAGACAGCTAATTGTTTTGAGTTAGCAATATTATTAGCATCGTTCTTAATTGGCTACGGATATAATGCTTTTGTAGTACAAGGTTACGCTACGGAAAGCGTGTGTAACAACGATTTGAGCAAAATTAAGTTAGATATGTCAAAATACGATGTATGTATTTATGTTTATTTTTCTATACTTTTAAATTGTAATTATAATGTTTTGAACTAATATTTGAGTTGCCATATTATAGAGTAAACCTAAGCCTGATGAATCTGATGATGTTGAAGACGTCAACGACATATACGCAGTAGATTTCGAGATCGATATGTGCAGTGAATTTGTAAATCTTTTAATCGAAGAGGAAAAAAAGAAATCAATTGTTGTAGATGAAGTTAAAGAGGTACATGAGTATATTTATGTGTAATTTTTAATCAGTTTTGGTAGGATTTAATAATAATAATAATAATAATAACACGGTTGTCATAGAACAATATTGATCGTTCTTCTGATCTGCTGTACGGGAGACGGGTTCATTGTTGGGTCATGATCATACCACTGGAAGTTGAAGATGAAAAAACAACCAATAATCCATATTTTATTGAGCCTAGCGTGGGCGAGAGGAAAGAAATTTCCGATGATAGTTATATCGGAATCGAATTTATTTGGAATCATAAAAATTATTGGATTAATTTACAGTCCTTGAACAACGGATGCACTGTACGTATTCATTATACCCGCTACTAATGAGTTAGGGATGTCAATATGTTACAAATATTAAGATTACCTTGTTATTTGGGTAATAGTTACGATATATATATTTATAATTCTGATTCATTGTATGCTATGGAAAAATTTAAATTTTAAATTAAAATTACTTTATCAACTATATTTATGCACAAATAAAAATAACTAAACAAACATTCAAACAAAATAATCATATAATCTCTATACAGTTATAATTCGAGAACATTGTAATAGTTAAATAGAAAATCGTAAATAATAGAAAAAACTGTTTTGAAAGAAATTTTGAATTTAAGTTAGGTAATCAGGATTTCTAACATTAACACTGATCATAATAGTTTTGTTGAATTCTATAGTGTTAATTGCAAGGTTATTTATACGCTTATTGTATATATTTCAAATTTTATAGGAGTATAAAATCGATCTAACAAATAAAAAATGTTGGGAGCAATTTTTGCCTGATGAAACTCAATATCTTCAGAGATCAACATTGGAACGGAGGCATTATGAAAATGAAAGCTCCAGAAATGTGATTATGCCCAATTCGTGGGTTAGCGTTTTAGAAGTTCCCAGAAACAGTATGCGCGTGTGACGGCTTTAATAAAATTAATTTTTTCATCATTAAAACGTTTATGTTTTAGAATATCTTATGCTGTATCCGATGGGTAAGAAAATGACGCGGTACATGAATGCGCTCAAAGAGTCGTATGCTGAATACATTTTACCTGATGGGTTGATTGAGAGAATAACATTTTACGCCGAACCAGAGTACAAGAACAAGATGTTTGTCAAGGAATTTTATAGACACAGGGTAGACAAATTGATCAGTCTCGAGATAAGATTCTCCGTTGATAAAAATGAAATTGTTGAGTATTTCAGCAGCGGCCGGAAAGATTGTTTAAAAAGTTAGTAGTCTATTTACATATGTTTTGCATTTTGAATACAGAATGTTTCTAAATATAATTTAATTTATAGCACATACATTCAGTGGCGAAATCAACAGTCTAGATAGTGACCGTTCGTTTGTGTTTTATAATCTAAGACTTGATTCGATGATCAAATTAGAGATCGACCATATTAGTTTCACAACGACGTTTAGCGACAGGTTCGTAGACGTGTTATAATAATTAATAATAATAATTGAGCTTGCGGCTATGCAGTATTTTAATACTACAGAACCATGTAAACTTTTTTCGAGAGTATCGCATTGGTTTTATTTTACAAATAGAATCCCATTAAGTCATTAAAGTTAATGGCAAAGAAAATCATTAGCGAGTATAATTGTATGTTATCATATCAAATGTGGAGCACTTTCATAAACCGTGTATAAAAAAGTAATAATCAAAATCGTTCAATTTACTTAATACTTATCGAATGTAACCAGTGCACGGATAATTAAATAAAGGTTGAGTTTGATAAAGCGTGAACTGAAGCTCAACAACTATCAAATGATATAAAAATGTAATTTCAAAACGTGTACACGTTGAGAGTGCTCAGACGTCCTGTATTATTTTATTTTTCTGTCAATTGTCCTAGTTTTCTGACCTGGCAACAATTAAAAACAGTTCTAAATTCATAAACTTTATTTAAACGTAATGTAATGTATTCATGTCTTTTAATAATTTCTAAGTAATAATCTTTAATTAACGAAGGTAATTAAAAAAACATATATATATATTTATATTGCACTATTTTTCGGAAAAAGAGTTTTTAAAAATGTAAAACTTATATTATGACTGGAGATCGGCAAAAAATCTAAGCTCCTTATTCGGATTGCGGTCATAAAGTATGCTCGGATAATATAAAAAAAAATTTTAGATGGACGAGAAATTTCTATTCCATGTTTACTTGGTCTGTAAATATTATTTTTACTAACTATTGTCCTCTTTATAAAAATATTAAATAAAAGGATGTAAAATGTAAACTTGACCGGGTTATAAAAATATTAAATTCATCCAAAACTTGATTTTATATACTTTTTTTTCACGTTAATTTTCCCACAAATATTCCCTTGCTTAGCATCTATTATTTTTATAAACCGAAACCATCTAATCTGATTACTATATATAAAAATAAAATAAATCCATTTTATATTGGAAAAAAACATACGATCAAGTTTTGGATGAATTTTAATATTTTTACCACTTAGTCGAGTTAGCATTATATCCTTTTAATAAATATTTTTATAAAGGGGACAACAGTTAGTAAAAACGATATTTACAGACCAATTTCACGATTACCTACAAGTCTTATGTCCATCTAGTATGTGAATAATATGAAGATATTGTTGTTAAAATTGCCAAATTTAGCTTCGTTCGTGATGTTCATTATTTATTTATTAAAATAATTTTTAGAACTATTCATGTTGATTTCTGGGAACATAACATTTTAGAATTGTTTTATTATCCAATTTCAGTGGTATTCACCAGTTGGTTTTTACCGCATTGAATTAATCAGGAAAACTATTTTAATAATGTAACAGCCTGTGAAAACTTTTATCAACTTATTATTTATTCAATTATAAAATACATATACTTACTTTTCATACATAAATATACGCATTTTGTTAACATCAAAATAACTCATTAGTAGACAAAGTTAACGTTGAGACAAAGTCTATTATGTTATACATATTCTATTTTACTTGGGAATTAGCTTATTGCAATTTGTGAATAGTAAACAATTTTTTCGAAAAAGTATTTTAAATGATCGATAAAGATTATTTAAATACTATCTATAAAGACTATGAGAGTTAACATATAGAAATATTTGATAATTGTTAGGTATTCTTTTCATTTATATTTATATCGTGCGTTGTACTCAAAAATAACACACGAAATTGTTTTACGTATGGCCTTGTATCATAATTTTTAATTAAAAATGAAATAGGTTGAACCAATATTTGATACGGTAGTTTTATGCACAGAAGTACCAATAATTAAAATTTTCTATTTTATTGAAATGTAATTAATGCTTCTATAAACTTACGCTGAAATTTATTTATTTATTTTTATTAAATATTACGAGTACGTATATATTTATACTTAAAAATAACGTTTTTTGTTGTTTTAGATCAGACTTATTGTTTTGGTGCATGAGTGAATTTGAAAAATTAGAAAACATGGATGGTCAAGTCATAAACTCGAAGAGGAAACCTAAAGTGAGTTTCAGTATTATCCTTAATATTACGTGATATAAAATAATTATAAGAAAGCTATAGAAAATAATTTATATGTTTATGTTTGTGCCTTAAGTATAGCATAAGCATTATTTAATTAACCGTGTTTATTTAATATTTCTTCTAGTTTTACATTATGTACACACATTATATATGACATGATTGCATTCTTGTTCCTTTGCGTACGTAAATTATTTTATATATATATATAAAATAAATATGTACATCATACTATACCGGAGAATATAGAATTTATATTTTAGTCATAGAAATGTAGATATGTAACTCGAACGGTTGAAAATCCATTTAAGTATTTTGACTCATTGTAACCTATACAGCGAGGCTCTTAAAATAATATTCAAAAACAAACTATGTAATATAGCGTATTTTTTTCGCGCATAAATGATCAGATTATTATTTATGGTCATTTTCAATTAGAAAAAAAAAATAAAATGTAGTCCATTACAATGAATCACAACCACTTATCCCTTAAATATAATCAATATTCCGATTTTTTAAGTTAAGACAGTATTACCTACCATATTTATTTAAAATCAAATACAAACATAATTTTGTCAATCAAAAATAGCTAGTGGACGACAGTCGTAAAAGTAAAGTCGTAGTCTATATCACTATAATTTATTATCTATATTATTAAATCTAAAATCTAAAAACTTTGCACTATTAGCGTTAAAAAATAAAAATAAAATGTTTCGTTAAGGTGAATTTAGTTCTAGCTCTTCCAAGTGTACAAAACTAAAATATTTCAATTTTTTATTTTAAATCATATTAAATATTTTACTTAACCAAAGTTAAATATTTATTTTTGTATCACAGTTGATAATTGAAAAGTATTTAAGAGACGAGTCTAAGCACAAAGATCGAGATATCGCCACCATACATTATGATTTCGCGTTGAATAATATTTTCGTGCAGTATCAATTTGGTGAAGGGCAGATCACTCAATCGAAGAGATTGTTTATAAAGCCGACTGTAGCAAATAGCAAAGACTTCGACCCAGAATCAGTTACTGAACACATTGTTTATCCGTACGAGGGCCATCTGGAACCACACGAATCGTATACGTTGTTACAAGAGATGTTAAATGCAGAGATCGAAGCCGTTCGAGCCATTTCTAAATTGGAAGACGAAGTTATTGAAATTCTGGAAAACCGTAGTCGAGAACGGTCGGAGTGTAAGTTGAAAATTAACTCGTTGGACTGGGACCGAAATTATAAAACTAGAAAATTGCTCCAAATTAAAGTAATTATTGATCATGATAGTTTCACGCAATCACATTTACTGTTGTGTTGGTTTATTTTTCAGAAAGATAAAAAACTCGCTGTTGTCGAACGAGAAAATGCTGAGAATATAGATTATGCTTTACCGTATCTTGAATCTGGAAAAATACCATATAAGTACGACAAAGTTTCAAAGATCCGCGATAAAGTCGTAAGCAAATTTCGACAAAATACCATCAACCAGTTTATACGAGTTAAAAATTCGTTTTTAAAGGTACTTATTACCGTACATACTATATATCATTTAATCATCTGATTGTAAACGCTGTTTTTATTCAATTTTTATCATATCGATATTCCCTGCAGAAAGAGTCCAAGATGCGTTCAATAACGATGGCGCTAGAAAAAGATAATTTAAATGTCGAACTTAAGAATGAAATGTTAAAACTAGGTTCGTCGATGAAAAATGAATTAGAAGTGTTAACGTTAAAACTGCAAAGATATAAAGAAATACGTGCCGAAAGATACAACAATTTAGTGATGTACCTAAATAGCAAACCCGAATTCAAAATGTTACCGCCTTTGAAATTATTGGATTCAAATGGGACATGATTAATTCGACGAATAAAATATAAATTAAAATAAATTCAAGCATTATTATTTGTTAAATTGTTATACATATATGTAAAGGTCGGATTTTTATAACTTTACATATTTATTTTTAGTCTATGTAGTTAAATGGGAATGAGATATCTTTACGATTCATGAAACACAGAATACACAGAATATAATTATTTTGCATAAAAAAGCATATTTTAAGGCTTAGGGAATATTCAATACGTTAGAGAATATTTGAGAGTTTTATTTTTGTAAACACATTATAATAATTATTTGTCTGCAAGTCCATGCACGTATTACGTATATTGGAATTTTTATAGTATTTATCAATATACACAATATTCACAATATGAGCTATTTTTATATCCTTTTAAGTTGTTATAAAAATTAATTACTAGACATTAGGAGTGGTCGACGTACAGTTTAAATTGGTATTAAAACTATTTTTTTTTTCACAAATGTTATTGTTGACATAAAACATCATATGTTTGATATTATTAAAGAATATTTAGAGAATACCATATATTGCCTTTTATAAAAACATAAAAACATGTTTTAAAAATTTTAAGAGAATATAAATCCGATCTCTATTTTATATGGGTTGTATATAAGTAAATACGTGCATTCATATTTTGCTATTTAATTAAAAACTTATTGAAGTTCTGGTAAATAAAAAAAAAAAAAACCATTGTTCACTTATAAATTACTAAATAGTATAATTTATATTGTTTTTTTCCAATTAAATAAAATATTTTGACATAATAATGTTTCCGAGTTATAAAGAAACAGATTAAAAAACAAATCATTGGTTAATAATTTTTTATGCTTTATGGTGTAAAATAGCATTTCTGATTTTTGGTTCGTCGTGGATATTTTTAGAATCTTAAGGGCTTTACGAACAAAAAAGTTTTAAAATCACAGGCGTACATAGTGACTATCATTAGGTTATCCGAGTTAAATAGACGTAGAAAACATTGTGAATCAAATATTTTATGTACACTTGTGGTGAGAATACGTTTACAGAAATTTGGCGTTTTTCCCCGTAGAACAGCAGTTAAACTACGACTTATCTAAATCGTTTTGCCGTTTATATTAAACTAATCGTGGGGCGAACTGCGGAGTTAATCATCATCTTCAGACAATTTTATAGTACTATATCGTTCGATCGCTCACTAAACCATAGTTTACTGCTGTTACGTTAATCTAATGTTTAATACTATTCATGTTGTTCATCTATCGGTACGCTCAATTGGTCTGCTCCGTACACATCACATATATTTTATAATCGTACATAATCATCACGATTATCCTTGGAACGTTGAATTCATTTTGAAGGGGAATTTTTTTCTTATGCCTATTTGGCTAAAAACAGTGATCCACGGTATATTCATTTGGCTGGTACCCCTGGACTAATCATTTATCCCTGCGCGGTAAAAGTCTTGCGAGACTATAATATAGTCTTTGGATTGGATTAGGGTTTTGTACAACGCAATTTTATCACGTTCACGTGAGTAAATCAAAAATTTTAAAAATTTTCTAAATAGGACCATACAATCAGTAGTAGTCAAACGGGAAGGGGGAGAGGGAGATACCCCCTAACCTCTTTGTAATTTTATATTATTTTTAGTTATATACTCACAATTTAGACAAAACGATGTAAACACTCGGTCTGAAAAGCATGTCCTAATCTGACGGCATCTAGTTACCCACATTTCACGCTATGTTGTGCTAAGAAGGTCACTTTTTCGTACTTTTCAGGATTTTGTAAAGATTTCCAGACATTGGATTAGATAAATTTTTGATTTTGATGGTCAGGAAGTGAGTTATGTAGCGTTTGTAGGGTTGAGTGGAGGTTTTTGTTTTAGGTCTGTATACAGTGTTTGTTTTAAAGTGTAGAATTTGTGATTAGGCATGACATTTTGTTTCGTGATACTTGATTTTTTTTTTTTTGTTATAATGCAAATGTGGATAGTAGTGTGGCAAGCATATTTCAAATTTTAAGCAAAGTATTTAAATAATAACCCAACCCCTCCCTTTATTAAATAATACACACATATATATATAACTATTCAATCGTACTACCTATAGGATTTTCCTTAATCTCTTTCAAATAAAATTACCCTATCTGTTATATGTGCATATTATTTTTCAAAGCATGCAACTAGCCAAATAATTTAATAATTTAAATAAAATATGTTCATAAATACATGGGCCAAGGGAATACCCAGCCTCTTGATAGGTTTCATGGGATAAGCTATTGCATTGAGCAAACGTTGCTCACCACGCCACTGAATGTGGACACCGTACACTTGAAATTGATTTTGGTTGACTTTGATTTTGGTCGAACTTGGTTAAGTTTTAATTTAGTGGGGATTGAGAGTTTTGATCTTGAATTTTAAAAATAGTTGAGGGATGGATTCAGGATCTAAATTTATGTACAATGGTGTGTATTTGGTGAGCCCAAATCAACTTTTTGTCAAAATGAATCCCAAGGGTATTTTATATTCAGTGAGGTAGGAATTGTATTGTTATTGAAAGTAACTCGAGGATAAAAAACTAGTTTTAGTGAACAAGTGATTTGGATAGATTTAATTTCATTAATTTTTTTTTCCTAATTTTTACACCAGGTATCAATAATAATAATAATAATAATAATAATAAATAATAATAACCATTATAACTATCAAAACAGTAAATATAAAGCGACTTCCGAATCGAATCCAAGTGGTATTTCGGAGGACCCTTAAAATTTTAGAGATAATGAATGTTTACAGCGTCAAACTCACCGTTCGCCCGTACCGATAATATCGCGTAATATCTGTACACATGTATACGAATAAAATATCATTTGACGAAATCGAAATATTGACAGTTCTGCAAGGCCATGACGAGGAACAGAGTCGATACGGACATGTGTGTATGTGTGTGTGAATAGGGATGGCAACGATATATCGATACATGAAGTCTATCGTGATATTTTACATCGAAAAAACGTTACCGATAAATCGTCTCGTTATTATCGTGTCTAACGATATTTTAATGTGATTAATCTTCGGGAAATCACCAATAGACATCATTATATACTATTATAAATTATTTGGATTGTTATACTCGTATGTAAATATTAATATATTAATAATATAAATAAAATTATTTTCATTATAATTTTCTACGCGCGTACTGCAATATATAAGATTTGCAATTTAAGTGTATTAATATTGTTCTGGTTTTATAAAATATTTTATAATTTTGTTAAATTTACATGCTTTGATTAATTTAATTTATTTGTCATTATTCCTGTAGTAAGTATCGATTACAAGTTACGGCCTCGGCCTACGGATCGTGGTTATAAATTGTATTCAAATAAATGATAACCTATTATCTATGTAGAAGTCTATAAGACTGGAAAAAATTGGAAAAATTTTCCGATATATACCCAATCAAAAATATATTTCTTATGCCAATCCTCACAACGGGCGTAATATTGTGCCAACATTGGCTACCCAATTGTTGGCTAGCCCATTCAGGACCAGTACTATCTTTAATATTATTTAGTACTGCACCATTGCTAGGGAACTATAAATAAATGGTGTTGGCAGCTAACTACTGGTTGAATGCTGGCATATTACGGAGTAAATAAGAAATTTGGGGTAAGGGAAGCTGTATCTCACGCAGATATATCAACGTGGATACAAAGCTGACATGTTGTAGGCACCTATGAAATGTCAGTTAAGGCAATCCAGTTTCTTCATCGATATATCGATATTATAGAGGTCGATATATCGTGGTATCGATATTAGGTATGCGATAAATCGAAATTATGATGTATCGATGGTTAACGATTTTTCGCTATCTCTATGTGTGAATAACAATACAGTTTTGGTCGTGTCGCAGATAGCATAGACCAGGGAACATTTCGAAACTCCGTCAAACGTAATGGTGCGCGGGCGAAGATGTGACATTACCGAGCCGCCGTGCGTGTAACCAACAGCTGAGATTACATGCGTATCAGATAGAGGTGTATTATGTACTTATTTGACGCATTAGCGCCTAAAAAGTTGGCTGTTGTTTAATAACAATATAAGCGCCGAAAACTTTAATAATATTCGCGTAAAGTTTCCCGCGTCGGTCGTCGTGTAGTTGTAGCCATGCATCTCACACGTTTCAACAACCGTTTTTTGTTCGTACACTGCGCGTAGAACGCAAAATGTACCGGTTGTTTTCCGTAACGTATACTACACCCCGTTCGCGTTAAGACCGAAAAAATCCAATATCGTTCTCGAACCATAACGTTTTCCCCTGTACGACCATCGCGTGGCGTACCTACCCCGTGTGTTAGCTATTGAAAACCTTAACGCGTCCTTGACGCTATTCGGATCCTCGGTCCTCCGACAAACGTTCGCTCTACCGGTATGTTTTCTCGTTTTGTTGCGTCGAAAATATTTTTTCTCCCATACAGTATTACTATTAGTCAAGGGTGTATTTATAGTGGGGGGGGGTTGGGTGGCCTTCAACCCCCCCCCCCCCCCCCCCGACCAGGAATTGTTTGTTAAGTCTTCTTATTATGTCCTATCAGATGTAAATCGTAAAAGTTCAATATAATTTTTTAAAGAATTATTAGTAAGAACAAACAAGTTATTCATGTAAAGTGTCTGACGATTTTGATCGTAACGATTATAATACCATTGAGTTCGGTACATTGTGCTTAATTTTAACATACGGTACTGCTGCACTATCGTAATTTCGATTTCTTTTACCTAGAATTGATTTACTGATATACACGCGTTGCCGCGTCTCGATCACCGTATAATATTTATACGAGCCCATATGAGCTAAAATATTTCCGAGAAGTGACGGCAACGGCCGATAACACGATCACGGTGATCGGTTTTCGTCGTACAGTTGTTACTTGTTTTCGCTATTATAGATAAATGTTGATTTTTTTTTTTTTTAATGCTAATTTTCCAACTTTTGTTTTTAATAGGCTGAATTGGGGGATTTCAGTTGGAGAAAATACCATAGCCCCCCAAAAAAAAAAAAAAAATATTTAAATACGCCTCTGCCATTAGTCAACAAAAGTGTCCGTTAATGATATAATTACGTAGAAAAAATGTTGTTACATCGATCTGTTCGAAACAATATTACTATTATCTGGTTTCGATCGTGTTTTATTCGACGCAACGTTTTCGTGCGCGCATTTAGAATCGAAACTCAAACAAGTTTCGTCTCGTTGGATAAATTCAGAAATCTATGAGTTTTCCGAATGAACTATTTTAAATGTACATTTTATACACGTATGACGTTCATACGAATCACTATTTTTTCGCATTACTCGTATGTATAGTACGATGGTTTTCTAGAAGAAGTTATTTACCGACAATTATTTTGAGTGTTTATGCATTTGTATAATATTATATAAATAGTTAAATAGTATAATATTAGGTTATTGCTCACCTATCATTGAAT